ATGAAACAGATCTGAGAGATTTAGAAGAAAAGAGATGACCAGAAGAAAAAAAAAACTGATGTTGCGACGGTGGCTGACCACTGGAACTGAATCAGCGGCGGTGATGTCACCAGCACTAAGCCTGTTGATGATAAGGCTGATAAAGGTACAGCTGAAAAAAGAAGATATTTCTTCTATTTTAAAGATTGGTTCAGTGACTATTACCCCAAGACAGATAGAAACTAAACTACCCTTATAGACATAAGGGAACACGCCGGAAAATGAAAAAAAAAAAAGAGAAAAGAAGATCAATGAATGAAAAAGAAAAAATATGATTGCAGCGGAATTTCCATTCATGGAGGATGAAAAATTGCTCTGATACCATATTAGAAGGTAAAAGAGAGAAAATGAAAAATATTGATTTCATTGATTGGTTAATTAATTTGTACAATAAAGCTCTTATATAAAAGAGCAAGAGAAGATTCTAGAGTATCATTGAAATACTAAACTACCCTTATACCTAATATCTAATAGAAGGTACAAGCACTAGGTAGGGTAGAGATCGACAACACCACCATCAGAACATGATTCACCAAACGAGATGTCTTTTAAGTCTTTGATTTAAATATGAAATGGCAACAACTGAAGCAAGACCTAAAGTCTTTATTTTAACACTTTCAGTAATAACCGAGTTCGGTTGGGTTAAGGTTTATGAGTTTCATTTTTCATCAAAAGTCTTACCTGCCAATCTTGAATACTGAATCAATGATAAGGTAAATTAACTGGCTATGTTCATCGTGAGAAAGACATATATTTTTTTTAATTATGATTAGTCTGGAGTGGCTTAAAATAGATTGAAACTTCAACGGTGTAATATTATCAAAAAAGAAACATGGTATGAATTACTTGGATGTGTTGCACAGTGATAGTCACGCAATTAAACCAAATCAGATTTGTTCGGTCTAGGTCTGGTGAAACACACCCACAGGGGATGGGAGCAAAACAAAAGAAGGGAAAGGAGGAAAGGAAAACTAGTCTTATACACCAATATGTCTTTCCAAGTATTCGCTTGCTGTTAGTAGTATGTGTAAAGAACCTTGAGATACACCACCCTAAAAGCTAGCTCAAAAGATGAGAGTGCCCAAGACCTTATAAACTCCATATTATTTGCACATACAACTAATGTGGGACTATATATCTCAACACGCCCCCTCACACGAGAGTCCATTGGGCTTGAAGAGTGGATGATGTAACAGGCCCAACCTACCTGTGCGAAGAAATTCCACAAGAGAAAGTGGGCGGCGGCGAGGCTCTGATACCACGTAAATAACCTTGGGATACACCATCCCAAAAGCTAGCTCAAAGGGTGAGAGTGCCCAAAGTCTTATAAACTCCACATTAATTGCTCATACAACTAATGTTGGACTATATATCTCAACATATACTAAACAGGCATACATTGACTTTGAGACTGCTGAGGGTGAATTCCAGAGAGCAAGAGCGCTTTATGAAAGGCTTCTTGATCGAACAAAGCACTTGAAGGTGTGGATAAGCTATGCGGAATTTGAGGCAACAGTTATGGATGATGAAGGTTTAGACTTAACAGAAAATGAGCAAAAGAAGCAATGCATTCAGCGTGCTAGAAGTACGTGATCTCAATGCTATGTTCATATGCTGTTAATTTGTAATTGTATGTTTTCAGTTTGAATTGAAGAAGAATAATTTTCTGATTCTCTTTATATTTCATTTTGTGCCTGCAACAGGGGTGTATGAGGAAGCTCTTAAGTACTTCAGATCATCAGCTCCATATTTGAAAGAGGAAAGAGCAATGCTATTGGAGAAATGGCTCAACCTGGAGGCTTCTTCTGGGGAGCTGGGTGATGTTAGCTTAGTCCAGTCTAAGCCGCCCAAGAAGTCCAACAAGAGAAGGCGAGTTAGCACTGAAGATGGTTCTACTAGGTATGTAACTAACTCATTGTTTATCTTTTAGTTGATATGGTTATGTATGCAACACAGTCACAGCGATTCTGTGGATTTATTTTCATGTCCCCATTTTATAAGGCCAACTTGAGCTTTTGCATTGTGAATGTTGACAAGGCCGTTAGTTGTCAATGCATTGATGTTAATTTTATAATTATCAATTTTTTTTTTTTTGCAATTCTATTTTTGCAAGCCGTCGTTTTTCCTACTTCATTCCTGTGAATTTGATTTGGCAGAATTGAAGAATTTATCGACTATTTGTTCCCTGAGGAATATCAGAAACCGGTCTCAACATGATCGTCGAAAAGGCTTACAAGTGGAAGAAGGAGCCAAAATTGTCTTCTGGTGATGATTGACAGCATTTTATTGCTCTCATGCTTCTGGGGTGTATATACGGACAAAGATTTGATTATTGTTTAACTGGCAGAGGTCAATGAGAGCTCATCTTTTTATAACAAGTTAGAACTGACAACCACTTGTGGTGATGTCGCTTCTCGTTAATCAAGATTTTCAACTGTAGGTAATAGTAAGAATAGAAGTGACCAGCAGTGGATCATTTTTATTAGGGTAAGTTTTTCTTTTCTTTTCTTTGGTTAGTTCTTTACAAGGAAAAATCATCTCAGAATTTGCTTGTGATCTGGTAAATTAGTGCCTTTTTCATTAAATGATTTTTCTTTTGTTGCCGGTTTGTTTCTATGCAGATTTATAGAAGCATGTAGAAGAAAGAATCTTCTAGATGTATTAGCCGAATATACCTTAGATCAAAAGAATTAGATCCTAGAGAAGAAGCAAATGAGGTCACCACCGCCGTCATTATCATCATTATCAATAAATTTACAGTTAGGTTATGAACAATATGTATACAGTTATCCTAGACAAGATATGCATTAGAAGACAACAATTAAGCAGTGATAGAAATCAAGAACCACTGAGAAACTGAAAGAGAAGCTGAGAGAGAGAAACTGTGTGTTTTCCATTCTGTAATTGTAACTGAAAACTGAACGAACCTAATTAAGTTCAGGCTAGGTTTACAACTACGAATCTCACTCAGATTCCTAACTGAATCCTACCCATTATAACTACTTGCAAGCAAGGCTGACAGCTGGGCATAACTGTATCATAGATAATTACATTGCTATTATAAGCTGAGCTGAGTATTACTCTAACAAGGAAGAGAAGGAATGTGTTTCCAAAAAAAAAGAGTGATAAAAGAAAACAGAGTAATGAAGGAAGGCCGTGTCACACCGGGCAGAACTAAAATAGATGTTGGAGAACTATATTGGATGTTTTCATGGGGGAATTGCACGGCAAAAAATCTCATTTTTTTTCATTAAACAATGCTATAACCATACTACAGAGATTACTATTCCTTGAACAATTCAAAAAAGCAAACATATGGCCCAGTCCTTAAAATTTGTGACACCTTTTCATAAAACAAAGACATAATAGTTTTTTTTTTTTAATTTTGAAATGTGCACATCGACAAAATAGAGCACTGTTTTGGAGCTCATTTGTAGTTTTCTACATCATCAATAATTCATATGTTTTTTCTTAAATCTAAAGTTCTAGTCGCTAGCTATATAGTTCCAAAATATACAATATAAAAAATATCTTTGTCTTTTCCCCCGTATGACCTAAAAAATCAACTTACTATACTTTATTTGATAGTAATTTTTCCTCTTTTTTGTTTAACTTTTTCCCACGTTAATGCATCATACAAATATAAAAAAACAAAAAAAGATGCATATGCATAGTGAAAGATGGTGTTCATTGTGTTTTGAGCTCAAATTCTAACCTGATCCTGAAAGACATGAGAATGTTAATGTTAAAATACAAGATGAGATTGAATGCTATAATCATCGGTGAAGTCAAAGCTTATATCAACACATACATTTATTCTATGGTTACAGGATAAGACTCCCCTAAGATAACCCTGTCTCTAAAGTGAGCAAGCAAAGACGTATTCACAGCTGATTTAATTAAACTGTAATGCCTCGTGTCGACTCGGTTTGTTACCCTCCATCTTATCAAGCTCTGTATCCAACTACAATTAACAACTTGAAATAAAAAGAGCGCAAACATTAATCATAGTTACACATTCCCCATATTTAAAATATGGCCGCAACCATCAAAAAGGATATTTAGTACAGGTCTAGTTGTAGCAAATCATTACCATCACTCACTTCCAATAAGAAGCATTAGGTGTCATAAATTTAAATCCCAAGACAGGTCGAATTAATTATCTTCAATCAAAATTTGATTCTTGTAAGTCAAACTTTATCAAGACTAACCCGACTAATTATACTTCAATGTATAGTCATGGAGTAAAAACATAGACCTTATTACTTTAGTTATTTAAACTTCCTCAAACCACCGTCACTCTAATTAATAGATATTTCCTTATCACTCTTAAGGCATTCATGGTTTGGGTTAGCACTTCAATTAAATGTCAATCTTAGGGTAAAAGTAAGTTATTACCTAATACATTCAGGAATTATTTAGTTATCTAATTTCAACCATGACAGTGATGCATTATTTTTTTATTTATTTAACATACTAGAATCTGATGTCCATTATTAATCCATGACATCATCATCAATCTTACACTGCCTACTCTTCGGTTGCATAACTGATAACTTTAGATTCATCTCTTGTACATTAAGTTACAAATGCCCACATACCTTATTATAACTCCTATCACATATACCACACTTTACTAAACCTTAGCCTATGATAATATGAACAAATCAACATTCAGCCCCATTTACAGTTGGGTTAATTAGATATACCCATTCCTTTAGATCTTACATATGATAATGAGACCCCTCTCTATCATTCAAGTAGTCATAGACCCATGTTCGATATTCCTTTTATTGAAACATCATTGCATAACACAAGCCCGTGAACACATGTCAGTGAGTGATTACTTATATTAAACTATAATAATCTTAATTCAGAACTCTAAAAATATAGTCATGAATCATATATCATACAATGACCTCCATATACGCTAAAGGATCATGTTCATTGTAGCATCACAAATTCTCCATTCAGCCATACATGATGACCAACCATCTTGCATAAGTAGGGTTCACAATCCGCCTCAAAATTAAAAAAAGGCAGCCTTACCTATTGACAATTCTTTTCACATAAATGTATAGCTCTTAAGTATTCACCAGGTTACAAAAGAAGAGACATTACATTCTTCAAATTTTAGCTAGTATACAGTAACATTGAATTACATAAAGTGTTGGAATTACTCATGCTCCTCTCTGAAGCCAAGGCTTATAGCATGTCAGAAGCACTGTTTATATAATGACATGTCAATGATGAAACAGCCTGTCTGACCATCTCAGAAGCCAAGACTAACCATCTCAGAAGCACAGTATAAATGACATGTCAATGATGAAACAGCCTGTCCAATTCACTATTTTTAGGATTAAAAATTATTTAGAATTAATATACTAAGGTTACAGCATGATGCTACAGTTTGCTTGCTTAAATTTTGCTCTGATATAGAAGTAAAAAGCTACCCGACCTATTTCCATAATTTCCCTTTCCATCAACAACCCTAAAATTCAAGTAAATTCCTGCACTTCATAAAGAATGAATCACACAGTTAAATGCGAGTATGTCACGCATTGACTCACACAAGAAATAAATTTTGTGTGTACCTTCCACAACAGCTCAGGCATGTCCAATGCTGGTTGGGCGATTGCAAGCTCAAGAATTGCTCGAGCTCGATCAGTCTCAGATAAAGATCTCTCCAATTCTGCATACTCGCTCCAAGCATAGCAATTTTCAGGCGACCACTCCAGATACTTTTCATACAATTTTCTACATCGATCTATATTACCAAGCTGCAGTTCCATCTCTATATACTTCCTAAAAATCTGTTGTCCAAAGAGTAAAGCAGTGTGAGAAGTTAACCATGCTGCAAAGAAAGAAGTTATTATGCTCGAATCTACATAAATATTACCTTATCTTTAGGAGCCTTTCCAATGGCATTTCCTAATATTTGACGAGCACCCTTAAGATTCAGCTGACGAATTTCAAACTGGGCTGCCAGAAGCCATATCTTCGCAAAAGAGAACTTACAGTGAGGTATCTGGTTGAGACACTCACTGTAAACATATCTTGTTCGCTCCACATCACCAGCATCAAGCTCTTCGTAGAGTGCATACTTAATCCACAAATAGATATAGCGCTGCCAGTAGCGCTTCTCCTCAGCTGGAGGAACATTGGCTATAGCTCTCTCATAAACCTCCCTGATTCTTTCTTTGCTCCCCACACTTTCTTCCAATCTAATATAGTCAAACCACGAATCGTAATTTAAAGGATTTTTTCTCACTTCATCCTCATACTGAAACCTTCTCTTCCCAACAATAGCATCCTCGATCCCTTCCCTGTCCCCATACTGCTTTTCAAAGGCCACAAACTTTCGATTCAAATCTTCTACCCTTTCCTTGGGAATATGATCAACTGCAAATTTATATATATATCTCTTGATCTTTCTGTCTCCTTACATCTTTCCTCAAACTCAGAAAATGCAGCAAACAGCTGGTCTGCTTCCTCATCATCCGCAAGCTTCTCCACCGCTCTCTCATAAACATGCCTTGCCTTAGCAACCTCCCCATTCTTAATTTCAAACTTGGCATAGTGAATCCAAACCCCAACCTTCGGGTGACACTGAACAAAAAGCTCGAATATCCCTCGAGCTCGCTCAATTTCATTGTACCTCATCTCAAATTTGATGAAAGAGAGCCATCCCTGCTGGTCAGGCATCCATTTCATCCACCTCTGGAAAACCTGCCTCGCTCCGGCGACATTGCCGAGCATCTCCTCCATGTGAATATATTTATACCATAACTGATCAACCCTCGGCAAAAGAGTAACCGCGCGATTCCAAACGTTCCTAGCATGGTTTAGGAACTTGTTCTTCGCCTCTACCTCCGCATACTTGAGCCACAGGATGCAATTCTTGGGGTCAACTTCCAGTGCTCTTTCCCAAACGGAGCGAGCGCGTTTGAAGTCACCCTGTGACTCTTCCCACTGGGCGTACTTGATCCACTCGCCATTGCTCCGTGGAAATCGCCGAATCGAGTCCTCAAACTCTTTACGCTTCCGCAAGCGGGACTCGCCAAGCTCCGTCGCATCGGTTATCTTCTGCTTCGGTGGACGGATCTCCGCCTCTTGACGCTCCCGAGACTCACGAAGAATCTGCTCCGCTGTGATTTGATTGGATGCAGACGATTTATTCTTTACTCTAGTTGGACGCGCAAGTATGACTTCCGTCTCTTTCGACGAGGACATGGTTGCACTCGAACGATTAAGGTAATTAAACCCTAGGGTTTTGTATTTATTATTTTAAATGTATCTCGTTTTAGAAGAGAGATAGACATAAAAAATAGAAATCATGCGAGAGAATAGCGATGTTCGCGGTCTGGATTGGATCGGTTCTGGAAGCAAAAATCATCCGATCCACCCCCTTCGATTTGATAATATAATCATCCATTCGTTTTGGATTTTTTTCAAATCCGATCTGATCCAATCCAATTTTTTTCGGTTTGGATTGGATCGGTTTTCGGTTTTTCAAAAATTCTAAAATTTATTTCATGTGCAAATAACATCTTTTGTATATATTGGCTTTGTAATTTTTATTTTTTTTAAATACAAAAGTATTGGTAAACTATAAAATTTTGTTGATGAGATATGACTAGATTTTTTCTTGGGTTTAGTTGAAGGGTTAATGGATCTTGGGTTTAGAAATTTTTAGGCTATGATTAGGGAAAAATCCAAGTAGATAGAGGAGTATTAATATATTGGATCGGTTTGGATTGGATCGGTTTTCATCAACCCATCCAAAAACCGATCCAATCCAATTAAAATTTGCGATTTTTTTTCGGATTCCGATTTTCGATTTATTCGGTTATCGGTTTTTTGGTTCGGTTACCGCGGTTTAAATCGGTGTGGATCGGTTGATGAACACTCCTACGAGAAAGGGAGTGGGAGGTTTTTTTTTAATTTAAATTTTAAATAAAAAATTATTTTGTGTCTATTTCTCTCCTAAAATAACATAACTTTATATCATTTAAAATGACAAACACTTTTTCCTTAGACCCTAACCCTAATATTGTTGGGATCGATGTGGAGAGTGACGCCGGTAACTAATGGGAGAAGTGTTTATCATATAAAGTTATATCATTTTAAGATAGAGATAGACATAAAATAATAATTATTTATTTAAAATTTAAATTAAAAATATCACCCATATTTTTATTTTTTGTGTCTATCTCTCTCTTAAAATGACATAATTTATATCCTTTAAAAGGATAAACATCATATCCATTATAAATTAATTCAAATTTAAAGGATTCACTTTTCTATAGTCAATGTAAATAACTTATAGATTACCAAAAAAAAATAAAAAAATAACTTATCTATATTGAGCTCAAAACGACGGCATTTTGATGCGGAAATCAAAGTATTTTTGTAATTATAATTTATTTTAGGGTTATAATAGTCCTTTTCTTTATAATTTTTTAATTTTTCAACCCAAAATGACGTCATTTTGGGAGCAAATGTAGATAAATTATCTACTTTCACTTTAGAAACATTAAAGCCAAATTTTAAAGGGTTGGCTTTTTCTACCGTCAATGTAGATAATTTATCTACATTGAGCCCAAAACGACGTAATTTTAAGAAGTAAATCAATGTATTTTTGTAATTATAGGTTATAATAATCCTTTTCATTATAATTTTTTAATTTTTCAATCCAAAATGACGTCGCTTTAGCAGCAAATGTAGATAACTTATCTACATTCACTTTAGAAACATTAAAGTCAATTTAAAATCCTAAAAATAAGAAAATTTCTTAAAATAAATATAACAGTAATTAATTTTTAAAAATTAATAAATAATTATAATTAAATTATTCAAAACACTACCCAAATCTTAAATTTCAAATATGTCAAATGAGTTGTTTTCATTTTATTGTCAAATAAATCACTATTTGATCGTAATTTGTTAGATTTCGAATCACTACTTATTTAAACAATTGGGTCATTTTTATCGGGCCACAACTCTGATTGACTCTGAGCTTCTTAAATAAATAGTTGGGCTATGTGCAATAAACCTACTATAAGTGCATCATTCTTCACTGTTAAATAAAGATTCGTCCTCAAATATGCTTCTTAATTTTCAAATTAAGAACGTTGAGATATTAGACAATACAAGTAATCAAAATCACATTATTAAGAATTATTAACCGAAAGTATAACATTATAATATATTTGAACATCTTAAATCGTAAATATGTGTGTGTCATTTTAAATGACAGAATGTTATGTCATTTTAAGAGAGATACAGACACAGAAAATTTGAATTTTAAATTAAAAAAACCACTAACTTTCTCTCTCCCATGATTTCTGTTTTTCTGTGTCTATCTCTCTCCTAAAATGACATAACTTATGTCATTTAAAATGACAAATATCAATCCCTTATAATATTTAAATAATGAAGTTGATAGTAAAAGAAGTATAACTTTCTCCTTAAAATAAATTAAAATAAATTAAATTAATTTGATATTGTTAATTTACTTTATTACCCTTATTTGTAATAGATTAACTATTTTAACTAATAAGAATAAAAAAATTACAACAATTAAAACTAAAATTTAAATAAAATTCAAGTAGATCTAGTCAATTTATTGACAATTAAAATAAAAAATTCCATGTCAAACCATTTCAATGTTTTTACATTTAACTCAAATTTAAGTAATTTTAAATGTTTGTTAGAGAAGAAAGCTTGAACTTTGAACTTTCGACACAAATTTCGGCTATCTTTTCACGCATTTTGTTTGCATGATTATTTGCATTAAAACATGGCCTTTTGGCATGTCAGATTTGCAACCTATGTTTATACCTGTCAAAACGGGTCAGAGCCCGCGGGCCAACCCTATAACCTCACTTTTCAGCCCTATTTTATTTTAGCCCACGTTTAATGGGGCCATTTTTGACCCTGGCCCCAATAGCCCTCATCTGTTTTGGGTTAGGATGAGATTAACCACGGGCCAGCCCAATATCTTTTTCTAAACCCTAATTCCCAATTTTTTCTGATTTGCTCCATTATCGTTCTGATTTCTTCCTCTTCGCAGTCCATAGCTCTTGTAATTTCTTCAATCTTCTTCTTCACATAGGCTATTGTAGTGTTTCTTCCCACCTTCCCATTCAGATTTTGACGATTTCGTGGCTGTGTTCTGCTGACGCGATTCCTACTCAACATACCGAGTCGCCTCGTGTTAACTCAGGGAGTTTCAAAAAATCAAAATTATACATCAGGGTATGTTCTTTTATGCTAATATAGTATTTTCTTCAGTATTGTTTTATTTAGATAATTGATATATTATATTTTGCAGGAGTTTGAAATATTTGAGAACGAGAGCATGAATGTTGCTGGTAAGAGTGAATTAAATCTTTATTTGGATGAACCAAAAGTTAAATTTGGTCAAGGGGAATATTTTGATGTGCTTAACTTTTGGAAGCTTAATGAAAGTAGATTTCCCATACTTAGTATTATGGCACGAGATGTGCTAAGTATCCCGATTACTACAGTGGCATCAAAATCTGCTTTTAGTATTGGTGGACGTGTTCTTACCAAATATAGAAGTTCTACTCTTCTTGAAAATATTCAGATGTTGATTTGCACTAGGAATTGGTTGCATGGTTTTACTCCCAATCCTGATGGTAATACTTTGAGTTAATTTTAATAATCTTTTATTCGTAAATGTTGGAATTGATTATCTAATTGAGTAATTGTATTTCAATTGATTGTGAGTTTTAGATGAAGATGATTGTAAAATTACTCATCATGAAGCACTAACAGCAGAATCCCAAGGAGCATCAAGAGGTTTGATTAGAATTATATTTAGCAAAGCTACATAGGCTAGTCTTGATTTAGGTTTATATATGTTCTCTTCCTAATTTGAATGCAGCAATATCTAATTTGAATGCCCTCTCATGGTACATGATACAATATCTTGATGAGAACAAAGAAGCTGATTATGGCAATATCTTGATGAAAAATCATGACCACAGGTACTTATATTGACATATATATTAGAAAATGTTTAACCTTATGATATATGATATATGCATGTCTATTTTTTTGACCAAGATTTCTAACTTATTGAAATATATATGGTTGCAGCAACAACAAAAGATAACACCAACAGGCCAATTAGGGATGCATTTGAGAAAACATTAGCAACTCCATTTGCTTATGGTTCAGGACATGTTCAACCTGACCTTGCTGTAGATCCTGGACTTGTTTATGATCTAGGCCTTACTGATTACTTGAACTTCTTATGTGCTTCTGGATATGACCAACAACTCATTTCCGCACTTAATTTCAATAGGACATTTATTTGTTCAGGAACTCACAGCGTAACAGACTTGAACTACCCTTTAATCACATTGCCAAATCTTGGGTTAAAAGCCATAAACGTTATTCGTACAGTGACCAATGTTGGGACACCAAGCACTTATTTTGCAAATACCAATGCTTGTGGGGTGCATACCTATCTCCATTCATTTACAAGTAGATATAGTTTAGTTATTCAGTTTCTTCAAACCTATCTGCAAGTATATAGATATAATGCTTTCTCACATTGTAGAATTTTACTCTTAAAGTGTTGTTAAAATATAGTTTATTTTTAGCCCGCGGGCTGGCCCTAACCCATAGGGTTATATGATTTTTTGGCATATGCGGGCTGTTTGATATGCAGGCTTTTTGGCCCTGGCTCACGCGGGCTAGAGCCTAACGGGCCGGGCTGGCCCGTTTTGACGGCTCTACCTATGTTGCTGCAAATTTTCGCATATCTGTTTCTTGTTTTTCTATACAAATTTAGTTTTTTTCCACTTGCTTACAAATAGCATAAACTTTTCTGAACTTTTTCCAAAACTTTATTCATGAATTTGGATATTACTTGCTTGAGATTTTATTTAGATATATGTTTGCTTGTTAAATGGCATTATATCCTGCTTTACTGTGCAGTTATTGAATACTACCACAACTTTCATTTTGACGTGGTCAAATGATCAAGACTCGAGCAGCGTTTCATCATATTTTTAAGTTGTTTAGATATTCAAACAAACATATTTATACAAGATCAGTTGAAGTTAGAACATTTTTTGATAAATTTCTACCCATCATTACAACTTTACTTTTAACATATATAATGCCACCCTTTAAACGACTTTGACAAAAAATAATTCAGTATAACAAGACTAATTAATTAGGCTCAGACAAATTAC